AAAAAAAAAAAAAAAAAAAAAAAAAGAGTTCGCAATTGCAGTTCGGGCACCCTACCTGGCCAGAAAGCTGGGTTGTATACATTGCCCGAACTGCAAGTGGAAACTGTATCTTGGCCCAGAGTGCAATTACAACTCATTTCTGTGACTCCCAAGTAGTTTCCCCCCAAAAAATCTTCACTTCAAACCCAGGGACAAATGGCCAGCAAAAAATAGCCACAGGAACACCGTATGGGCCTCGCTCCACTGCACAGCATTCTGAATGCAAACTGGAGCTGGAATCGTTCCTATGCATGCATAGTTTTCGATCACTGACAGTCGGAATGTGCCTGGTGGATAAGAGAGTCAGGGGACATGGCCAGTGTCGAATGATGAAGCGAGAACCTACTCCTACTGTCTGACCAAATGCACGTAAGGGCAGCAAACCCACCCATCCATCCATAGCTCCAGATTCAGCTCAACTGCAGCCACAACAAATTGTGAATGGACACGTGTGGGACTCACCTGCACTTAAGACAAATTCCGGATGGATAAGTGTGCCGCCGCAGAGAAATGAACCATTGACGAAGGACACGGTAATGGCGGCTTGATACGGAACTTGAGTCCTCACGACGGGTCCTCCACCGATGATCCGCTCGTCCAGCTGTCTGTGCGACGCAGCCCAAGCTTCTGCATCCTCGTTGGCTATGGTGTTGGAAGGATGACCAGCCTCCGCACCCTTCCTAATGCCCGTCTCAGCCAATGATCGGGGTCGGGAAACAGGGGGAGACCCAGAGTCAGACCCAGAGACAGTTGCAACATGGCCAAGACAGCAGGCGGCCAGAAGGACAGCTACAATTCCAGGAAGTGCCCGCCGGGACACAAAGGGCCCACCCTCCATAGCAGAAGCTGCAAATTACCGTCTTCGATCCTTCTCTGCTTGCTGAGTGAAGAACCGTGGACAGAACTCGCAGAGACGACCAGCACCAGCAGACTTTTTAGAAGCCACCACCTTTCCTCCTGTCCACCCAGTCGTCCACACACCGACACCAGTAGCAACTTTGCACATCCAGAAATACTTTCTGTAGCTCCATTTCTG